CCCCCCCCGCCTCCCTTCTCTTCCCTGTGCCCAGACTCTTGTTCGGGGCCTTGAAACAGTGAGCTGTCTTTGTTCGAAATACAGGTGAACGGCAATCATGTGATTAACACACACACACATAAAAAGCTTTTTAACAGCGCCCGCCTGGCCTCAGAACCGCCCAGAGAGGAGCCGCCCTGGATGGACAGAGGGACAGAGGGACGAGCCTCCAGCCGGTCGTGTCTGGCTACCCTCAGCAGTCTCCGACACCCGCTGCTGCCCGCCCGCTGCCCGCCTGCCTGGCATCTCTCGATCCCGGTGGGTCCCCGCTCATCCTTCCACCCCTCGGTTCCTCCTCTCGAGGAGGTGTGGTGCCTGTGGCGTCTGTGACTTGGCCTGAGACCCCCTGGGGCAGGGAGGGGTGGCTGTGGAGGGTAGGAAGCCAGGTGTGGGGTCCCACAGCTCCCCTTTCGACTCCCCGCCTCCTCCCCTACCCTCCTTGGCCCAGCTGTGCCAGGATGGGGGTGGGGGTGGCAGTGGGTGCTCTGGGTCTGCAGAAAAGCCACACTGGACAGAAGGGGCCTCTCTCTTCCCTTCCCTCTGTCTCCTCTCTCTGTCCCTCTCTTCCTGTTTCCACAGTGCTGTGTGGGCTCTCTGCTGAGAGGTGCTGGATGAGACAGGTGGGCCTGCAGGGGGGCAGGGGTACAGTGCCGTGAGATGCCCAAGGCTGTGCGTGGGTGGGGTACCTCGTGCTGTGAACACACTGCCCACCATGTGGGCAACTCTGATCCCCTCCATCTGTTGCAGGCCCCTGGGGCCCAGCTTTCTCCAGCAGGGGAGGGTGAAGGATCCATATTCATCCCTGGAGAGCAGGGAGTTTGGAGAGGGGGAGGGCTCCTGGATGAGGACACCTGGTGCCTCTGCCCTTGACAGAACACCTGCTGGCCAGCACCGGCTTCTGCTCCCTTCCCTGCTCGGGGTGGGAGGGGTCCTTTTCCCCCTCATTCCTGACCCTTCCCCAAGGATGCTGGTGACCCCCTTGCCACACCCCGAATCCCACCTGCCCATTCCGGGTGAGGTGTGATGCCTGGTGCACTCTCTGGCCTGTTCTCTCTCCCCAGCAGGGAGGGCCCAACATTAGAGTATAATGGTGAGGTTCAGGCCTCCTTCCCTGGGCAGAGGCCTTTCAGGAGTATCAGGGTTTTCTGCGATCCAGCCTGGGCTCTGTGAAGCTGGTCCCAGATTTACTCCTCAGACGGGCCCCTGAGAGGAGGACAGCAAGTGAATTTCTGTCAATCAGACGTAAAGCCCGCCCGCTGGTGCCCCTGCCTGGCCGAGCTGCTTCGGGTTGGCTGTGACCCTTAACCCCTTAGCTCCCCGAGTCCTCCTCTTGGGGCACTGGTCCTGCTTTGCGGAAGGCCCACCCTTGGCTCCCCGTCCTGGGTCCCAGTCGCTCATCTGTCCCCTGGGGTGATGGCCATCTTGCCTGGCCTGCCTCTCAGAACACCCCAAGGTGAGATGGGGAAATCTCCTGTTCAGCCGAGCCAGGGCCGAGCAGGGAAGGCACTTCCCCACCTCTAGGCACCGTGGGGGTGAGACCTGCGTGGGCCAGTCTGTCCTCTCGCTCGTTCCACAGGCCTGGGCCCAGCTCCCCGTTTCTGACCAGCTTCCCAGCAATCGCCTTGAGTACCGCTTCTAAATCTCGCTCCACGTTAGGGTCACTGTGGAGTCTTAAAGAAACATTGAAGCCTGGATCCCCTGCAGACTGGCTAATTCTGAATTTCTGGGCATGGAGTCCAGACATGTTTCCTTTCTGAAGCTCTCTGGGAGGCCTTGCTTTTCCTCACTGGGGTCTCTGGAACCCCGAGGAGGCGGTGGTCCTCTGCAGGACCCAAAATCTCCAGGGAGAGGGGAGAGTGCTGGGCTCCGGGCCCCAGAGCTGGAGGCCAGAACTGCAGTGACCCTGGGGTGCGCAGGGAATTGTGGGGTGTGGCAGGGGAGGGGCTGTGCATTGGAAAGGGGGAGGGCTGAGGGGCACAGGTCAGGGTCAAGGGTACAATACTGACTGAGACAAAAGCTTAGTCTGGGTGAGTGTATGGTCAGGGGGTGGTGGGAGCTCCCCCACCTCTGGACAGGTGTGTTCTTCTGGGTTCGGGTGCAGTGGAAAGAGCACTGGTCTTGGAGTCGGGAAATCCTGCCACTGGTATCCACGTGGCCTTGGGTGGATTATGCTGTTAACCTCTCAGGACTTGGTTTTTGCATGTATAAAATGTTGATGATTTTATATATCACCGTATCCCAAGCGGATGGGAGAATCAAGTAAGAATACACAGGGAATTCCCTGGTGGTCCGGTGGTTAGGACTCGGCCCTGTCACTGCTGGGGCCTGGCTTTGATCCCTGTTTGGGGAACTAAGATCCCCCCCCATGCAGGGAGGGGAAAAAAAAAAAAAAAAAAAAAAAAAAAAAAAGAACACACACACAAACACATTTGGTGTGGAGTAAGTGCTTAATAAATGGTAGTTAGAAAAAGTAGTTTAGGGACTGGGAGGTGGGGAATGCTGACTTCTGTTCAAGTGCACAGGTGTTCACAGAGCAGCCACTGTGGATTAGCCTCAGGAGTTTGTAATCTGCCTGTTGAATCCCAGCATCAGACCAGGGCGGTGTGTGGAAACCTCCTCACGGGCAGGCCTCTCCTGCTGCGCCCCTCAACGGCGAAGGCCCGCACTTCCACAGCCCCCTGTGGGCCGGCCCAGCTCCGGGCCCCTCTGTCCCTGGAGTCTCAACAACTCTCTCAGTAGCTGCTGTCATTATTCTCCTTCTAGGAAGGAAACTGAGGCACAGAGACGTTCAGTGATGAG